TAATGTGGGCTGAGGATTTGTCATATATGGCCTTTATTATGTTAAGATATTTTCCTTCTCTACCAATTTTGTGAAGTGTTTTGATCATAAATGGATCCTATATCTTTTTGAAGGCTTTTTCTGTGTCTGTTGAGATTATCATATGATTTTTATTTTTTAATGTGTTTATGTGGTGTATCATATTAATTGATTTGCGTATGTTGAACCATCCCTGTGTCCCTGCGATGAAGCCCACTTGATCGTGGTGTATAATCTTTTTAATATGTTTCTGATAACTTATTTAGGATTTTTGCATTTGTGTTCATGAGAGATGTCAGTCTGTATTTTATTTTTTTGTGTTATCTATACCAGGTTTTGGTATCAGAGTAATATTGGCCTCATAAAATGAGTTGGGAAGTATTGCCTCCTCTTCGATTTTTTGGAAGAGTTTGAGGAGAATAGATATTAAATCTTCTTTGAGTGTTTGGTAGAATTCACTGGTGAAGCCATCTGGTCGTAGACTTTTACTTTATGGTAGGTTTTTGATGATTGGTTCAATTTCCATACTGCTATTTAGATTTTCCAGTTCTTGATTCAGTCTAGGCAGGTTGTATTTTTCTAAGTACTGGTCCATTTCTTCTAGGTTATTAAATTTGGTATTATATGCTTTTTCATAGTATTCTTGTATGATCCTTTGCAAATACAACAGAATTTTAAAAGAATTATACACCATGATCAAATGGTATTTATTCCAGGTATACAAGGTGGCTCAACATAAGAAAATTAATCAGTGTAATACACCACATTAATAGATGATGTGATGCTGACATAAGGCTAGACACACACAACAATGGAATAAAATTGGGAGTCCAAAAATAAATCCATATATCTATGGCCTATTAATTTTTAACAAGAGTACCAAGACCATTCAATGGGGGAAATACAGATTCTTCAACAAAAGGTGCCGAGACAACTGCATATCCACATGCAAAGAATGAAGTTGGACCCCATCTCATACTATATACAGAAATTAACTGAAAATGGCTCATAGACCCAAATGTAAGAGATAAAGCTATAAAATTCTTAAAAGAAAACAAGGGTAAATCTTCATGACCCTGGACTTGGAAGTGGATTCTTAGATATGACATTGGAAGCACAAGCAACCAAAGAAAAAAATAAATTGGACTTCATCGATATTAGAAATTTTTGTGAATCAAAGGACATCAAGAAAATGAAAAGATAGTCTACAGCCATCCCACCCTGAACGTGCCCGATCTCTTCTGATCTTGGAAGCTAAGCAGGGCTGGGCCTGGTTAGTGCCTGAATGGGAGACCACCTAGGAATATCAGGTGCTGTAGGCATAAAAAAAAAAAGTACAAGAAAGTGAAAAGACAAGCTACAGAATGGGAGAAAATATTTGCAAATCATATATCTGAAAAGGATTTGTAGCCAGAATATATAAAGAATTCTTTATAATAATAATAATAAAAAAAATAACCTGACTTTAAAATAGGCAAAAGACCTGAATAGACATTTCTCCAAAGAATGTGTACAATGGCCAATAAACATGAAAAGATGCTCAACATCTTTAGTCATTAGGGAAATGTAAGTCAAAACCACAATGAGATACCACTTCACATATAACTAAGATGGCTATGATAAAAAAAAGTTTAAAAACAGAAAATAAAAATTGTTGGCAAAAAATTTGGAGAAATTGGAATCCTCTTGCATTGCTGAGAGGAATGTAAAATGGTGTAGCTGCTGTTGGAAATGGTTTGGAAGTTCCTCAAAAAGTAATCATATGACCCAGCAATTCCACTCCTAGGTATAATACTCAAGAGAACTGAAAACATATTTATACAAAAACTTGTACATGCATATTCATAATAGCAAAAAGGTAGAGAAAAATCCAAATGTCCATCCATTGGTGAACTGATAAACAAAAATACTATATCCATACAATAGAATATTAATTAGCCTTTAAAATAAAATATAAGAGCAATGAAACATGCTGTGTGACATGAATGAACCTTAAAAACATGATGCTAAATGAAAGACAGACACAAAAAGCCACATATTATATGATTCCACTTGTATGAAATAACCAGAATAGACAAATTCATAGATACAAAAAGCATAATAGTGGTCGCCAGGGTGGGAAAAGAGGGAATGGTAATGGGTATGGCATTTCTTTTGGGGGTGATGAAAACGTTCTGGAATTAGATATTGGTGGTGGTTGCACAATCTTGTGAATGTACTAACAACCACTCAATTGTATACTTTAAATAGTGAATTTTATAGTATGTCAATTATATCTTAGAAAAAGGAAAAGGAAATGTTGAAAGCTATAGATAGAGAGGGAGATATTTCTATTTAATGGGTTAGGCAAAGCAGAGAGTAGCTTTCACTTAATTGGAAATGCACTTCTGCTGTAGTGTTTTTGTTCATTCATTCAACAGTTATTGAGCATGTGTTATGTACAAGAATCAAGGCAGTATCTGCTTCCACTTGCCTGTTGTCTCTTGAAGGCCTCAATAAGTAAACCAAGATCACCAAAAGTGAGAGGAAATTGCAGACGAGGACCAGTATAGGAGTCTGGGACATCTACCAGCCCCACACATTCCTGTCTACCCTTGTCCTGGAAGGCGTAGCCAAACAGTCGATTTACGAATTCTAGAAAAGACAAAAAGGGGAGAAAAATCAACATTCCCACACTTAAATGCAATAAATACATTCTTGAATGCCTAGCCCATGTAAGACATTGTGCTAAATGTTATGAATACCAAGATATCCCACATATAACCGCGAGGAATGATTTGTTATAAGACCAGTAGGTATATTCACATGAATCACCATCATCCCTTCCTGGGTGGACAATTTACCAAAGCAATGAGTTCAGCAGTGGGAAGTAGTAGAAGAAGCACAAGGAAAACTGGTTAATCAAGGTATTTTGATGTCTGAAGCTCTAACTCTACATGTTTGCCCACTCTTACATCTCAGAGTTTTACAAATAGTGTTGGGAACATAATGATGCATTGTATTTGGTTCAAATATCTGCTGCTATTCATGATCTACAGAAAATTAAATTGCAACATTCAATTTTTCCCATTAAATACTTCAAATTTTACTTAGTTATACTGGATTTGTTTCTCTCTTCACATAAAAACAAATTTTCTGACTTGATTTTCTTTCTTCTTGGTAACAAAGTAGATACAGTTAGATGACAAACTATCGGCAGAAATACCAAAGGGCCTTTCTCTTGAGCCAAGGCCTGAGGAGGCCTTGCATGCTTCTATGCTCTCTCTTTTGAAACCGTGCCACTACCACAAAGCCCAGGCTAGCTTACTGAAACCTCCAAGACCATGTGGAGCAGAGCTGAGTCACCCTAGTCAAGGTCATCCTAGATCAGCTACCAGCCAGTGGACCTCCAGACACATTAGCGAACTTCAGCCAAGACTCAAAAAACTGCCAAATCAAGCCTGCCAAGATCTGCAGAAGTGCTCAGCTAATCTGTAGACTTGTGAGCAAAAAGAAATGTTTATTACATGTCAATGAACTATTGTGGTTGTTTAATACATGGTATTATTACAGTAACAGACAATTAATACAGAGGACAATGACATTCCAACTCTTTAACACTGAGTTGCTACTAAGGCCATTAATCAGAGTTGTCTGCAAGCAGTTTCCATCTTTTTGAATATTTAGAATGGACATGTTTGGAAGGTATTTTGTTACCAGATGTAGACAGAATACGTTTTTTTCATGATTCGCTTTATGCTGAGGGATTACAATTAAGAACTAAACTTCACATTTTTTTTTCTAAAGCCATAATATTTGGCAATTTAAAAATGCTTTTCAAATTACCGTGTACCCAATATTTTTTCAGTGGTAGTTAATGATGTTTTATAAGAAGTTGAATTTAAGAGTAATAACTTCTGTCTTCGGTGGGATCCAGCAGAGGTTATTTTTCTCATTTGGATTTGGTTTGAGATTTGAGAATAACTTAATTATTTCATTTTATGTTTGAAAATTAGAAATATAGAGCTTTGTGGGAAATTTTATCTCAGATTCATTATGCAGACAGTAAAGCCTACTTAACTATCTTAATGATCACACCACATCAGCTAACTGACACATCAAGTTCCGGTTATTAAAACTCAGTCTTGTTGTTTAAGAATGAAATTAAAATATTGTTTTTCTTCTTAAAAAAAAAAAACAAAAACAAACTCAGTCTGGCCCTTTCTTCCATATATTTGAAGACCCTCATTCCTTATAAGTTCAGTGATATATATATATGAAAAAGCACCATTTCCCTAAACCAATTCTTGGTCAAAACTACTCAGTATGAAATATCAGTAAATATCAAATCATATTTCTCTTGCTGATTTTTAGTCACATTAAAAAAAATAACATAGATTCTCTTCCTAATGCATAGCTAATATGCACCATATATGAAAACAATTAAAAGCTTTAACATATCTTTTTGGGCTATAAACATTATAACTAATAATAGTTTAATGAATGCCAACAATATATGAAAATTTGTGTGTGTAACATGTAATTAGAATTAATCCTTACTTGTTTGTTTTACAAGTCTGTCAACATGAATCTAAACTAATTAAATATTACAAAATTTTGAAATATAACCAAATGGTACCTTCACAAGCTGTTCTAAAGAAAATACCTCAAAAACGCCCCCTACACACAATCTTTTCTTTTACCCAGTAAAGTCTCAAAATCTGGACAGGGAAAAATTTAAAGCCCATAATTTGAAAAAAAAAGAAAAAAAAAAAACAATTTATGCCTCTACCACCCACATGCCATTTTGAAAACAAGCTCCAGATATTGCTGGAGAAATAAAAGCACCAACTGAACTGTATTTACAGTGATTTCATTTCTCAATTATGAATCTAGATTAAAACCATTGGCGTCTATATAATGAACTCAATAGATGCCAAAATGACATTTCATAAAATTTAACAACCTGCTCCTGATTTTTAAAAAACTCAGAAAACTAGGAATGGAAGGATACCTCCTTAACATAATCTTAAAAATTTAAATCAATAATAATATTTTTTACTAAATCGTTAACAAAACAAGGATGCCTACTTTCCCTCTTTCATTTTAACATTGTTCTGCTATCTCCAGCCAACGCAATAAAACATGAAGCCAAAATAAGAGCAGTGACTACTGAAGAGAAAAATATTAAAAATAAAGTTACTCATGGCCAGTGTGATTAAATATCTAAACTCAAGAAAATCAGTTGAAAAACTGCTGGAATTGATAGGAGAATTAAAATAATACAGAGGTTAATCACACTGGTTTGAATCACAGCTTCACCATGAATGGGATGAATAATTTTAGGAAGTTACCTTCTAAGTAGCAGTAGTCTCATCCACAAAAAGGGGATGATAATAATACTAATCTTACTGGTTTGTCATGAAGACAATGAAATGACATTTAAAGCACTTAAAGACATGGCATAGAACAAACATATAATAAATATCAGCAATACTAATAATTTCATTAATGTTATTATTTGATAATAGCACAATACAAAATAAATAGATATAAATCAAAAGCTTTACTAAATATCACCAATAATCATTGGGAAGACATAATGGGAAAAATATCCTATTCACCACAGCAACAAAAATTATAAAATATCTGATCTGATAGGATACTTCGCTAATCTGGGAAGCAAAAAGAAAAGTCAAAACAACACTTCCACACACTCCGTCCCACTCCCCACTTTCACCAGTTTCTGTTCAAAACTATTGCTATATATGGCAGCTTTGGCTTTCTACCTGTGGGAGGAGGAGGATGTGAAAAAGCAGACTGGGGAACAGATGTGTAGAGTCTCCCCATCAAGTCCTATGAATTGGTTTTGAGCAACTAAAGTAGTAGGACACTGAAAAGAACTGCTTCTAGGTTACCTCTCACTTTTGGGACACCTAGAATGCCTCGACATACTCTATCCCTCAGAGTTAAAACCATTGATCTGGCTCTGATATCTAGAAACATTAAGTGACCTTTGGTCCCTAAATATACCTTGTTTAGGGATCACAGCACTCAGGTCTAAGGTGGAAGTTGTCTAGAACCTTTCACCAAGGAGGGTCATCAGAGACCTACAGTAATGTACAGCATGGTGACTCTAGTTAACAATACTCTAGTGTGTATTTCCAAGTTGCTAAGAGAATATATTTTAAAAGTTCTCACCACGCACACACAAAAATTCTAACTATGTGAAGTGGTGAAAGTGTTAACTAATCTGATAGTGGTAATCATTTCTCAACACATATATACATGAAATCATTACATTGTACACGTTAAACTTATACAATGTTATGCCAATTACTTTTCAATAAGTCTGGAAAAATTTTAAATGAAATCGATCTATAGAAATAATCTGTAAATCTCTTTTCCTGCTACATACAATTATTAAATCAATATGATTCTAGAACTCCATAATCGAGAGCTGTCTAAGAAAATAAGAAACCCAGAAATAAGCCCTATTACACATATTTAAATGAACATATTATGAAGTAGGTACTACAACTCATGGTAAAAAGATAAATTATGAAATAAATGTTGCAGTAGATTTTGGAAATATTCTTCGTAGTTATATTTTTTAATTGATCTCAACTACTGAGCATCAAAATTTCCTTTTTCAGTTTAATATTTAAAAATTCCAAATTTTATGAAGCACTGAAATTTTTTAAAGTTGAACTGTAAAAAAAAATATCTAGAAAAGAGGTATAGCAATCACATTTTAAATTTTTCAGGGCCTTCTAAGTTTAAAAGCAGATGTCACAAAAAAAAGATAGACTTAAAAAGAAAGATTTTAAATAATTAATGAATAAAAAATTTCTAAATCTGACAAAAAATATCAACTTAGATATCAAGAAACTCAGCAAACCCATGTAAGATAAATATAAATAAAAATGAAACCTCATCAAGGCATATTATGGTTAAAATGTTATTTTCCAATGTTACTTAGATTAGTTTTTTTTCTTCCTCATCTCCTTCAGATGATTAGGTTATTATTTGTAATACAATTAAGTTCATTCGTCACAGTGAGCATTCTATTTTGGAAATTCTTTCTCTCCCTCCATCCCTCCCTGTTTTTAATTAATTATTTTCTTAGGGATATGAAACATCATCATGGTTGTAAGAGTTAGAACTACAAAAAAGTATACTCAGAGAAGTGTCGCTCTCCCCTTATCCCTTCTATCCAACCCTCCTTCTCCCATTCTTTCTGCCCTGCTCCCACCCAACCTCCCATCCCCTGTAGTAGGTAAACAATGTCATTCATTTCTGGTTTATCCTGTATTCATTTTTTGCACAAATAAGTGTATGTGTGTATGTATATATGTATGTATGTGTATGTGTGTATGTGTGTTTGTATGTGTGTGTGTGTGTGTAAAGATTTCTTCAATAAGAGACAGAAAGCACTAACCATAAAAGTTGTACTACACTGAAATCAAGAATATCTGTTCGTCAAAAGATACCATTTAAAGATTGTGGGGATAAATGCCAAAGACTAGAAGATATTTGCAATATGTTTATCTAACATAGATTTATATTCTTATATCTAAACTGCTTAGAGAACACCTACAAATCGCTAAGAAAAAGGCAGATAACCCAATAGAAAGATAGGCAAAAGACATGAACAGATACTTCACCAAACAGGATGTGCACATGATTAATAAACATACAAAAAGTGAGCAATTTCACTGCTCACCAGGGAAATGCAAATTAAAGCATAAATGTGATAACCACTACATACTTGCCAACTGGCTAAAATGAAAAGGACAGACAATTTCAAGTGTTGGTGAGGATATGGAACAACTGGAACTCTCATACACCAGTGGCAGTATAACTTGGAACAACAATTCTGTAAAACTGTTTGTCAGTATCTAATAAAGCTGAACATATACATGCCCTATAACCCATTACTGGGTTGTGGTATACCTTTATAATAATGGCCCCCAATGACACATGCCTCCAGTATCCATATCCCTTCACGATATAATGCTGCTGCTGCTCCCTCAAAGAGATAGATCTTTCCTTATCCCTTTGAATATACAGCTGGCCTTGTGACTTGCTTTGACCCACAGAATATGACAGAACTGATTTTGTGTGAGTTTCAGAGCATAGACCTTAAGAGGCCTTACAGCATCCGCCTTTGTCCTCTTAGGATCCAACTGCCCTGTAAAGAAGTCCAGGATATCCTTTTGGACAGAGAGGGTGCATGAGGAGAATTAAGGTGTCCTATCTCATAGCTAACAACAAAGTCTCAGACATGTAAGTAAAAACATTTGGACCTCCCTGTCCCACCCAGGTATGTTGAGTGGGCCTAACTGATACCATGTGAAGCAAAGACAAGTCAGTCGCACTGAGCTCTGTTCAAATGCCTGACTCACAGAATCATAAGCAATACAATGGCTGTTGTTTTTAAGCCATTAAATTTTTTTTTTCATGTTCGACAATCTTTAATTCAAATATGAAAGTTCAATATAAGCCATTTGTAAGGTTTAGGACTTATTCTTTTAAAAACAAGAATAGAGGAATGCAACAAAATGATCTTTCCACTTTTTCTTCAGGAACTTTCAAGGAAAGGATAGATCATAGGGCCATAAAAGATCCATTTAGTCGTATCCACTTTCTCCCCCTACCAAAAGTCTTACACCCATTCCATAATCTTAATAGATATTCCTGAATGAAGATTTTTTAAGCCACTAAATTTTAAGGTGGTTTGTTATGCATCAATAGATAACCGAAAATGAATACACAGAAAAGAAAAGGATACTTATGTTCACCGAAAGGACATGTACAAGAATATGCATAGCAGTACCATTTAAATTACCAAAACTGAAAACAACCTAAATGTCCATAAACAGTAGAATGGATACATTTTGGTATATTCATAAAATGGTATTATTCAGCAACAAGAATGACCAGATTGCAACAATATGGACGATTCTTACAAATATTATGTTGAATAAAAGAAGCCAGATTCAACACTCTATGTTTACATTTGTACAGAGAAGTTCAAAAACAAGCAAAACTGATCTAGGATGTAGAAGTCAGGAAAGTAGTGATGGTGGAGCTGGATAGTGATTAGAGGGGGACAGGGACTTTATGTTGCTCTCATAATGTTTTATATCTTGTTTTAAGTGCATGCTGCAAGGATATGTTTAATTTGAGAAAATATATTGAGTCATGATTTGTGGACTTTTCTGTAAAGTTTACATAAAATTAAACCACTCTCCCTTTCTTTGATAAAAAAAAAAATTAGTATTTTGAAATCAGCTACAGAATTTTTAAAATGCAGATTTTAAATAAATACAGAGCCTGAGTAACTCTCTCTGGGCTGTAACCTGGCCATCTGTGGCTCTGAATCGCCATAAACGATTCTGATACACAGCCCTATTGAAATATTAGGTCATTAGCAGAAAGAGTACTATTTCATTTCATCATTATCTTTCCTCTCAGAAATATTTTTGCCAAAGAACATGAAGCACAAACAACTGTCTTCAAATTGCAATTATCTAAAAGAGAGAAAATGGCAAAATACCCACTTCCACCCACTCCCCACGCCTCAGGTTTGGCTACTCCACCATTCAAAAAGCTTCCATCGATCATTAAATGCTTTAATTAGTTTCATACATATGTACTTAGCTTAAAGCATACCATTCTTTTGCCACTTTGAAGGGTGCTTACTAGATTATTTAAAATACGCTCTTAGATGCCATAAACATTTTTAATTAGAGCAAAAAAATGGTTGGCCCAGATTAAAAAAAAAAGTTTTAAACTCTAGCATCTACCTTAAAGATAACAATAGGCAAGCCTTAATTTGCAGGAGAAATACATGCCTTGTGAATAACTATAATTTTAAATCATTTTTGAACCACACCTATATTGCCTGTCTCTGAAATGATTCATTTAGTCATTTTGGAATGACTATATAAATGATTGGTAAATAGACAAACAGCTAGATAGCTATGCAGAAAACAGAAATGTGATGGGGCCAACTGTGTATAATCCATCATTTTCCCCCGGATCTGTTTCATGAAATACTCAAGATGTGTTGATCTCTCAGCACAAAAATTTCATAGATAAAAAATAAGATCCTCCTTACTAAGCTGCTATATCGTATATCAAGATCCTCCTTACTAAGCTGCTATATCGTATATCAATAGATCTAATTCAGTTTTTTGAAAGTGAAAAAAATTAAATGGTCAATTTAGTTGACACCAATCAAAGAAGAAAAAAGCCAGATGAAGTGATTTCACCAGTTTGGTGTCACATAGACAAAACCGGTTTGCATACCTTTTAAATTGCTTAGTGTTCTCCCATCTTCAGAGTTTTCATCACTTAATAAGGACAATTCAATATTTAATGACTTCTTTTCAAAAGACTAAAGTTTTACTTACCTGGGTCTCTCTCATGTATATGTGTGTAGTTTTCCAACATGAAAGTAAAGAAATTTGATAGCTGGACAAAATAAAAATACATTAATCAATTAATGAACCCCAATAGCTACTATGGCAAATACTGCTGGTGTTCCCCTTTACTCGTCTCCCAGCTGCTGTAGATGCTAATGGGTCCTGCCTCTATCCGTCCCCCTCCTCCCAAGGGTTCCCTTGGCAGATGGGTGGCACCTACCCCAGAGTGGCATAGGATGTCATATATCCCCGCTCCTGGGGGGCTGCCCATAGAAAATGATGACTGTAGAAAGGGTACTACAGCCCAGCCTCCAACCTCCCTTGCCATTGGGTGGGACGAACTCTGTGATGCATTTCACTCTTCAGAACTCCCAATGGGATCAGGCTAAGGTCAGACTTCTCTAGAAACCATATTTTTGCCTAGTTTCTTCTCCCGTTCTATCTGGCTTTCCTCACTCCCAAATAGGTTTTTCCTGAGAACACTCACTCAGGAAATCACTTGTATCAGTATCTCTGTCTCAGATTCTGCTTCTAGGAAACCAACCTAAGACAGCTACTAGATTTTGCTCATTAAGATTTCTTCCTTTCCTTTTTTGGTAGTGAGATTACGAGGTAAGGGATACTCTTAAATGTCAAATATATTTGTAAAACGAAATAAGGAAGAAGGGAGGAAGGAGAGAAAGAAGGAAATCCACCAGCATTCCAACCATTATCTAGACGCTGCCTCTATGCCTACCAATTATCTGCGAAGACCTGCATTTATACAGCACAAATAACTTCTTCTCTGAGCCCTGCCTTTCATGAAGAGTGAATACTAAGCAACCTTTACATTCTGGGAGTAGGTCTGGGAATTGAGGGAAGGAAGATTTTCCATACAAATATAAAAATTAATTATTTTAATCCTGTTGATAGGTTTATCAATTAAGAGTTGATAGAAACCACAATGAAATACCACTTCACACACACTAGGATGGCTATAATCAAAAAGACAGATAATAGCAAGTGTCAGCAAAGATGCTGCAAAATTGAAGCCCTCATACACTGCTGGTGAGAATGTAAAATGTGTAGCTGCTTTGGAAAACAATTTAGCAATTATTCAAAAAGTTAAACACAGAGTTATCAGATGACCCAAGAATTCTACTTCTAAGCTTATACCCAAGAGAGTTGACAACATATGTTCATATAAAAATTTGCACACAAATATTCATAGCAGCATTATTTATATTATTTTCCAAAAAGTGGAAACAATTGAAATGATTTATCCACTGAGGAATGAATAAACAAATTGTGCTATATCCATACAATGGAATATTATTCAGCAATAAAAAGAAATGAAGTACTGATATATGCTACAACATGGATGAACCTTGAAGACATTATGCTCAGTGAAATAAGTCAGACACAAAAGGATCGCATGTTGTGTGGTTCCATTTATATGAAATGGCCAGAAAAGGCAAATCCATAAAGACAAAAAACAAATTAGTGGTTGCCAGTGGCTGTGGCTGGGGAGTGACTGCTAATGAGTATAGAGGTTTTTTTTGGGGGGGGGGGGGGCGGGAAGGTGATAAAAATGTTCTAAACTTTATTGTGGTGATGGTTACAACTTTGTGAATGTACTAAAGGCCATTAAAATTTATACTTTAAATGGGTGAACTGTATCTTAAGAAATCTGTTATTTAAAAAGAGTCAATGTTAAAGAATGTACTAATAATGGAATGTATGTATATAAAGCATATCAATTTGAGAGCTCACTCTGCCCTTATCTTCATCACTATATTCTACAGTGCTTAAAAGCCTGCTCTGTGAGCTCCTAATCAAAGCAAAGGGAGAATCCGATTGAATCATAGGATATCATTTTTATAGCTGCCAAGAATAAATCCCGCAATTCCTTTAATTCTTTTTGAAATTTTCTCAATTATTTTTAAAGATTATATAATAAATTTACAGATAAATACGACTGTTGAAAACTACAAACGATACAGAATGAAAATGAGAATTCCTCTCCCACTTACTTCTACCCATCAATATCACTCCTGTCCCCAGAAATAACCACTGTAAATACTTTACTGTACATCTTTTACAATTGATCTTAGCCAAAAGGCCAAGAAGAAATATTGCATATTTTTTTCTAGACTTTTGCTGTATGTTTAATTTTCTTTCACATATATGGCATAAAACTCTACATTTTGTTCTACTGGTTAATTTTTTTCATCAACAATTATATTGGAGATCTAAGATCCTTTTATTGTTAAAAAGTACTTCTTTATCAAGCATTATAGCTAGATTTATATATCATTTTCGCAAGCTTAAAAGGGGCCTTCCTTGCCCATCTACATTTTCTTCTAGAACTTTCATAAATTTGTTCCCAGAAAATTCTTCCATTTTTTTAACTCCTTAATGTGTTTTCTCCTTCATAAAGTAACAACTTTACTTCCTTTAATTCTTTTAGGGGCACTAAGACACATACCCCCAAACAGAATAAGACAATTTTTATTAGTTAACTAGACATCTGGCAGCCTTCTTAAAAACATGAACTTTAGAACTAAAAGACACCATCTTCATCCCAAATCATATCTCCCTCTCAACAGCTAGCTCCAAGAAAGTGTCACTACATCTTCTATTAAAGCCTTTCACCAAGTTTCCTCAGCTTAAAATGGACCCAAACTGACATAGTTTGGGTCAAAAAATAACCCAAACTGTTATTCTTTCAATAACAAGGGGTAAAGAGAAGCATTTTACCAAAAAAAGAGACAAGTTTGTGAAACATACCTGCAATTGGCCTTGTTCATCGGCATATTCGAGGGACTGAAAGATGGTGAGGGCATAGCGTTGTCTGGTCTTCAGACGAGCTCTGTAACCTCGGTACCAGTTCTGGATGATCAATGCAGCTCTTAGGACTGCAGACCCGCAGGATATGAAAGTAAGAGAAAAACAGTTACTATCCAGCTATAGTGGGGAGTAGGTGTGTCAGAAAAAAAGATCGGTCCACCTGGATTCCTCAGTTCTAAGAACATAAAAACTACAAACAATAAGGCTTACCTTCATGTTTTTGTAAAACATCCTCAAGTGTCAAATACTCAGAGAAAAATGATGGCATAGAGATTGAGTAGAATTTTTAGAGCAAGACCACCTGAATTTGAATTCCAGCTCTGTTGGTTACTATGTGACTTTGGGTAAGTTATTAAACTCCCAAAGCTCAGTTCCCTCATCTGTAAAATGGGGATTAAAATAGCACCTACCTCAGGCACTATTTAGGCACATGAAAGCTACCTATGCCCTATGAAGAAGCAATTCCATTCTTAACTTTACACCCCAAAGCAATTCTCTCACAGACCATAAAAAAAAAAAAAAAACATATGGCAATACGATGCTTCTTTGTGGCAGTAGAAATTCTGACACCGATACAGCCTGGCTGTCCATGGCTAGGAAAGAGAATGTATAACTGCCCTGGGTGTACACCATGGAGTATGAAGCCACGATTGGAAGCAAGAGATTAAATAAACCCACAGCAACGTGAATGGATTTTTAAAAATTGTGCTTCAGTTATAACAGTTATTAAAAAGTTAGAGACAGAATGAAATATGATACCATTTTATATAAATTTAAAATTCATATACACAAAACCACCATACACATTTCATAAGAATATACACAAAGGAAAAGATACACACTAAACCTAATAAATTGGTTATTTATGGAGGAGGGTGAATGAGCATCAGATACACAAATAAAAGTAAATAAGCAAATTAATTAACATATAAAAAGGTTTTGCACAGACCAATGGTGACAATGTACCATGAACTGAGAAGTATAATTCACTCCACCTTCAACAGCTAAGATTCAATTGATAAGAGACAGATGGATAAATGAACATATCTCCCTTCTTCATAGAGTTACTATGAGGGCAAACTGAGATACTACAGGTGAAAGTTTAGCCCAATGCCTGATATAAAGCATTTATGTTCAATAAATGGCCACTGTGGTTAAAAGTATTGTCTTGTTTGTGGACTATTCAGACACACTGACTCATCTGGGGCTGGAGCCTGTGCACCATCCTACTATAGCTTCATAGATGAGAAATAATGAGATTTAAAATATAGGCTCTTGTGCCTTCCTCAAATTTAAAAGTGAAGAGCAATCAACACCAGCTGGCTCCTTTTATTCATGCTATAATTTTTCGCATTTAGCACATAAAAATTAAGAGTTGACTATTAACAGGAACAATTTAGGTTCTGATAGCAAGAATCCAGCCTCCAGTCCCAGCATCCTTGGTTTAGTACTGCTGTGGTACACCAAGTAGACGCGTTATCTGAGAGTGTTTATTTACAAGCTTCTTCAAGGCTCTCAGGTTTCAGAGACTCTCATTTCATTATTCAGCTTCCAGAAAACCCCAGGAAATAGACATAAGGTCAAGTATCATAATTTATAGGGGGAAACCACAGAGAGAAAGAAATAGTAACTTGTTCAATATCGCAAAGCAAATAATTGGTAGTACCATGACTGAAATCTTGTGTTCTCATCATATCATTATGGAGAGCCCAGGGTCACCTGAAAGGTCTGTTCTGTAGGACAGTCACTGTTATGTCCATCCAATACTCACCCTGGGGCTCTCTGTTCACCAAGCACAATGTTCCAGTGCTATTTACAGAGCACTTACTGAGGGCCAGGCAGTGGATCCTTCCTGCGGTCCTCACCACACTGTGAAGCTGAGACACACTAACTTACTTAAGGTCACTTAGTAAGTGGAAATGGACAGCAAGGAATTGAATACAAGTCTCACTGACCCCATAGCCCAAGTCCTTAACCTTTTTCTGTGCCTCAGTTTCCTCCTCTGCACAGCGATGTTGTGGAATAAAGTCTCTTCTATTTAGTATTAGCAACACCAATAATAATAATCAAGCGTATTATTTCTATAATTGATAATTGTACAAAATAGCTACCATATGTTAAGGGTCTACTATAAGACATTTAGTCCCACAAGTATTATCATCTCCATGTTATACAGAAGAAAACTTCAGATTTAGAGAGGCAAAGATCTTGCTCAAAGTTACTTACCTAGTACGGACTCAGGTTTTCTGGGTCCAAACCCTGGCCTCTTCCCACTACAGCCAGTTACCTAATTGTACTTTTCTTTCCTTTGAATAATAGCCATCATTTATTGAGTGCCTACTATGTGCCTGGCATTAACCTAGACACATTACATATACTACTGCTTCTACTCCTCCCCTGCAAGGACAAACAGGCCTTCTAAGCCCCCTCTCCCATCTCTGCCTTGCTTCTGTCCAGTCCCTTGCTGTGGACCCCAGCCCACACCCCAGGGGAGGAGTTGCTATTTCATGTGGTAAACACATGATACATTCATGGGCTATCTTTTACTAGTGGGTGTGGGTACTGTACCTTGGAAGGTAGACAGCCATGCTCAGTTCCTTATCTCTTGCACTTCCTCTTCTACTCCAATCAGTAAGCTGAGCAGACCCCGACCCTGACCCCTCCCATACTTGGAAATCCACCATCATGTTTGCATTCCTGTACCTGAGCCCCTACACCTGAGCACGAATGCTACTTACTAAGCTATCATGTGTCAGTTCTCACCCCGCGCTTCTCTAGTTAGCTTACTGGTGCTGAGGCTGGGACTCTGCTGGCCACATTTGCACTTTGCCAATTGCTCCATGTTTGGCTCTGTCAATAGGGGCAGTAGAAGGAAATGGAGAGGCTGAAGGAGAAACGGGAGATACTCCTTCCTGTCTGCTTCCTGTTCCCGTTAGTGCAACCTAGCAACTGCTCTTCATCCCCACAGCAGTTTCTCCTGGCAGCCATTGAACCCAGTTTGCAGTTTACTCAGCACTTGCAAAACTAGCCTCATGGCAGCCCCTCAGAGACACCAATGCCAGCTGAGCAGCCCCCTCTTCTCAAAGATCTGAGTTTCAGTTCTGGAGGACCCCTCTTCAGGTCTCTAGATTTTAATAATTCCAATCTTTCCCCTTTGTTCTAGCAGCCCTAGAAGTGGTAACTTTCCTGCAGTTGCTACCTCCATACACCTTGGAGTTCTTTTTCAGGGACCCTTTTAGTAACCAGGTTAACGACTTGATACCTAATTGACAATTGTTTACGTTCAGTTCTCTCTATTTAGATCACTCTTAGTCTCTGCCTCCTGACTAGACCCTGCCCGATGAGCTAGTCCCATGGGGGTGGGAAAAGTAGGTCCTGCTTAGCCCTCCAGCCAGCTGAGGACCCTCCTCTGGAGCGGAAACTGCCAAAATGGTAAAAAGTAGAGCTCAGATTTGATGGACACTACTCGAGGGGGTTGTTAGCTCCATAACCCCCAACCCTCCCCACAGAGTTGAAGATCTGTGTCGTCCAGGCCTGAACTTGTTAGACAGCTTAGATCCACTTCTGGTCCTACTGCGTCTTGGCATAGTGGGGCTTGTCTTCCCTGTCACACTAACTCCACGCAGAAAAAAGACAAAAATAAAGTCTTTGCCTTATGTGTCCCAAAATCCTTCTGTTTATAGAAGGAAGCAACAGTATAGGTTGAATAAATTACCTGGCCAAATATCAAAAACAAATGATATTTGCTTTGTGTGACCGGTACTGTGCTTGGTGCTTTATATGGATAATTTGAGTTGATTTGATTTCAGTCCTCCCAACAATCCTAGGAAGTATTATTATACTTATTTTACAGATAAGGAAACAGAGGTTCAGAAATAATTTGTTTGGGGTCATTTCACTTGTCAGTGGGACAACGCAGAGTCAAATCCAGATCTCTGTAATTCCAGAACCTGAGCTTATAACCATTTTGCTATACAGCCCAGACTGGCGTTTGCAATCAGCCATAAAAACTGAGACAGTACATAGAATCGTATCTCCCTCCCACATCTTCCCCACCACATGTTCCCCATTCTCTTTACCTGATCTACTGTTCACGGCACTTTTTACCACCTGATATTCTATATAGTTATATGTTTGTGTGTTTATTGTCTATCATCCCCTATTAGCTAAGCTACATGAGAACAGGGACTTTATTTTGTTCATTGCTATGTCCCCAGCACCTGGGGTAAGGCCCGGCAATGGATATTTGTTGAATGAATGAATTAAATAATAAATAAATGAATAAATACCTTCTAGGGTTGTTATAATTATACACAATAAAAAATTAGCGAAGTGCTGATATAGGTACTAATAATATATTAATTAATTGATTAATATAAAGTGCTTAGTATAATGTTTGACATACAGGAAGCACTCAATAAATGGTAGATACTTTTTTAAAAAAAGTAAGGCAGATATGAAAAGATGCTCAACATCACTAATCATCAGAGAAATATAAATTAAAACCACAATGAGATATCACCTCACACCTGTCAGAATGGCTGTCATCAATAAATCAACAAACAAGTGTTGGCAAGGATATGGAGAAAAGGGAACCCTCTTGCACTGTTGGTAGGATTGCAAATCGATGCAGCTACTATGGAAAACAGTATGGAGGGTCCTCGAAAAAATTAAAGATAGAAGCTACCTTATGACCCAGCAATTCTACTTCTGGGTATTTATCCAAAGAAATCCAAAACACTAATTCAAAAAGATATATGCACCCCCATATTTGCAGAGCTATTTATAATAGCCAAAATATGGAAGCAACCTAAGTGCCCATCAATAAACAATTGGATAAAGATTTCGTACATATACACAATGGAATATTACTCAGCAATAAAAAAGGATGAAATGTTACCATTTCAACAACATGAATGGACCTAGAAGATATTATGCTAAGTGAAATAAGTCAGACAGAGACGAATATCATATGATCTCGCTTAATATGTGGAATCTAAAGTACAAAACAAACAAACAAACAAACAAAATGGAAACAGACTCATAGATACAGAGAACAAACTGATGG